CCTTGTATGGCCGACCGTGTAGGTCTCCTATGTGTTGGGTCGAGGTGGGTGATGCACCTTTGTTAGGTCCAGAGTTAGTTCGGGAAACGACGGAGAAAGTGGCACTTATCCGTAAGAGGTTGGTTACGGCTCAAAGTCGTCAGAAAAGTTATGCCGACCATAGAAAGAGACCCTTTTCTTTTGAGGTGGGAGACCACGTGTTCTTGAAGATATCACCTAGGTGGGGTTTGATGAGATTTGGGAAAAGTGGGAAGTTGTCCCCTCGATTTATTGGGCCTTTTGAGATCCTTGAGCTAGTCGGAGAGGTTGCTTACCGTTTGGCATTGCCTCCACAACTTTCTGGGGTTCATGACGTATTTCATATTAGCATGCTTCGAAAGTATGAGCCAGATCCATCGCACGTGTTGGATTGGACCGAATTAGAGGTAGACGAGGATGCCTCGTATAAGGAGAGACCAGTGAAAGTCTTGGACACTCGGGACCAAGTCTTGCAAGGCAAGACTATTCCCTTGGTTAAGGTTTTCTGGAAACATCACGAGGTTGATAAAGCAACTTGGGAGCGTAAATTGGAAGTCCGAGAGAAATATCCGGACTTATTTGTTGATGTTTGAACATGTATTGAGAATTTGATTATGTTAATAAAATATAAAAGCATTGTATATGTTTAAATATGAGAACATTGTATATGTTGAATATCTTTTGGAGACGCAGGCTTAATATGAACATTGTATATGTTGTTTAAGTTTTGGAAATGTTAGTTTATCATGAACATTGAATATGTTTTGGAAATATGGAATATTATTGGTTAAAACTACGGGAAATGTATATTGGAAATGTATATTGAGACTCGTTCATCATGTAATGGGATTGAATGACCGGCGGATGGGTCATGGTATTGAAAATTGATTTGTCATCATCGTGGGAATTTGTTTAAAACATGGTTTTGAAATGTGATTTGTAATTTCGAGGGCAAATTCTTTAAGGGGGAGGTTATAGCGATTCCGGTTTTGACCCAACTCCTGTGGTATTCCAAACTCAGGTTTAATACTTTCATATTGTTGTTTACCTCTTTCTTCCCTTGTATCTCTTTGAAATTGGCTTTTGGGTTGCTGTGATTGTGTTTGGGTAAGTTGGTCGCTTGTTTTTCACACCTTGTGTTGCCCAGAATTTTGGTCCTACGCTCGAGCGGCACATCCTGTGATTGAGCGGGCTTTGCAAACTCTCCGTACTTTTGCAGGTCTGCAAAACTACTGGGAGAGTGATTTCTATACTCGAGCGGTGTTTCCTACGCTCGAGCGAGTGGGCGCTCGAGCGGTCTTTCTTGTGCTCGAGCGTTGGTCTGTTGTCTGCAAAACTATTAGATGTGTGTTTTCTATGCTCGAGCATCACTTCTTGCGCTCTAGGGTGAGCGTCTTGTCTCGAGCGGAACAACTTTTTGTGTCGGACGCGCAAGCGGCACTTCTTGCGCTCGAGTGGATTGTGCATATATCAGATCGCGAAAATGACTTTTTACAACACTTTTTCAAATCTTTTCTCCCTAAAACCTAAAGTTGAGACCCTCTCTCTCTCTCTCTCTACATTTTCACCTAGTTTTAGTGATTTCTTCACCCTAGTCCCTTTGATAAAAAGATAGACCATCTCAAGATTTCCTTTTTGATCCGAATAGAGTTGGATTTGGGCATCTCTGAAGATTCACTCTTGCTTGGCTCGTCTTCTCTCTTTGAGGTATGGATTCTCTACACTTTTATATGATTTTTAGCTTAGTTATTTGTCGTTGTGTAAAAATGGTGGGATTTGGGAGTAGTTTGAACAAACCTAGGCTTTGGGTGTGAAATAAAGAGAGGGGTTTTTGGTGAATGTGAAATAAATGGTTATGGGGTTTGAATATGAGGATGTATTGTGACAAATTGTTGATATTTGGAAAAGGAGAGTTTTGTCCTAAATGGGTCAAATTGTTATTTTGTATAAATAGCTGAAATTGATATTGGTAATGTAAAATGGGAGGATTATTGAGATAAATGCTGGAGTTGGACACGTGTTATCTCTCACCTATGGGAATTTGAATAATTTATCTATTGAAAATATTGTATATCTGTTTAGAAATATCTTTCTTGGGCTATCAGTGGAGGATAGCTATGATTGTTGTAGAAATTGCATGAGGATTAGATAAATTTAAACTAATCTATTGTTGGTTGTCATTGAATATAACTATGCTTTAAATACGTTGTATATGTACAATGTTTGGGAGGAGAAAGGGAATGTACTCCATTGAAATTAAGTTGGCCGGAGTGTCTAGGGTGAAAGTCTCAAAATCTTGTGAATATATGGGTGCCGATCCCGCGAACCAAATTTCTGTAAAATGGCAGATTGAAGTGTTTATGTGGTAGTATATTGAATTAGAAAACCACTGAGTTGTAGTCTCAGTTGGGTTATTGAAAGATAATGAAATTGACTTCTGAATTGAGAATACTGAATGAACTTGAACCGAAAGGAAGGAAATTGAATTGAAATATAAACTTTGACACTTTATGATCATATAAAAATCGAATGTTTTGTCAATGAGCATTGTATATAAACATTGCACTTATATCTTTGTTAAATCTCATATATTGTGTTAGATTGTTCCTACTAAGCTTTGGCTCACCCTATTTGGGGAAAACCATTTTCAGATGCTAGTGATATGCCTCCGCCAGGGCAATAGCTTGGAGAGACTTTTGGGAGCAAGAGCTTCTTTCTTTTGTTATATTTTTTATAGCCAAGGGCTTTAATTTGTATTAAGGTAGTCTCACTTTTGCGTAACCAAGCAATGACTTGGAAAGATGTAAACCTATAGAGCATATGCCTATTTGTTCAATTTGAATTCTCTTATCATTGCAACACATGTTGTCGATTCAGGATGAATATTGGTGAATTTATATCGCATTTGTTAATTTTTTTGTAAACGAACTCTGATGAATGAAAATATTTTATTTCTTCCGCTATGAGTTGGATTTAAATCCCACCAAACTCCCACCCCTCCCCCCCTCCCTATCCACTCTAAACCTTGCTACTCGCCATTAAGCCAGGCCTTTAGTCTCCACTATAGCCTATTCCTTCAAAAATAAAACCATAAAACAAAGATAGAGAGAGAGAGAGAGAGAGAGAGAGAGAGAGAGAGAACTGAGCAATTTATATATTATTTTTTGAATTTAAAAATTGTGAAAAATAATCATAATTTAAGCTAATTTTTTTTTTTTAAATATTTTATTTCAAGCAGGGTGACCAAATCTCATTCTCATCCTAAATGTGACGCAGGTTAAGTCTGTCTATTCTATCCCCATCGTAACCTCGTTTAAGGCATACCATCTCCATCCCAATTACACTATAGAAACCTAAGAAGCATAGATATGGACATGCGTTAAGATATGTCACGGACATGTCGACACGCCAATTTGTTTGTATCTAATTCACTCTTAGAACACCACAGTAGATGTGTTTGAGCTTTATTGGGTTTTGTTGGTAAAAACACTTATTCAAGTACTTTATGATGTTGGCTTTGTTTGATCAGGGGTCATTTACTAACCTAGGGACTGGGCTATTTTGCTTTGTGTGATGGGGTAGTAGTTGGTTGTATTATGTTGTACTGTGGTGCTGTCCTTGTTGGTCCCTCACCAATTTTAGGGTTGTGCTTGCATATGATTGGAACAGTATTCAAGTCTTAAAAAAATTAAAAAATAAGACACGGTCACATGTTAAGAAGTGTTCAAAGAGTGTCAATATCCGACACAAACATGATATGCATACATCATATTCCTAGAAGTATCCATATTTCATCTCTTTCAAAATATTTTTGCAACTATTTACGAAATTATAAAACTTTTTTAAATAAATATTTTTTAAATGCATTTTTTGTCATAATTCTAAAATATTAATGAGTCTTTCCAGGTACTCGAGCACTTTCCAAAAACTTAAATGGGACACCTTTTTAGTGGAAAAGCAAGGCAGAAAAACCCTAGCAAATGTGTGTATATATATAATGCAAGAAAACCCATTCCAACCCAACCCAACCCAACCGAGGCTTGCTAAGATGAGAAGTAACAGCCTCAACAGAGGAGGAGAAGAAGATGAAGATCGAATTTCAAAAATTCCAATGATGAAAATCAGCGGATAAACAATTTTACCAAAATTTTGGTACGGATCTCTACACATCAATCATTTATAATTTCTTTGTTTGGTTGAGATTTATTTTGATGATTGTTGTTGGTGAAAATTGAACTAGATCATACCGAGGGTTGATCAGCCAAGGATGCAGAAAAGATGATGGAGGATTGACGAACCAACGTTTTGTGAAGATTTTTGGATTGGTCCTCCAATTTATGCCCACTCTGGTAATTCCATGTTTCTCTCAAATGTGATAATATGCTGCGATTATTTGATATATATGAATACACAGATATAAATATGTATGTATTTGACATTTTATGTATCGCAAATCACATGCTTTTGATTAGGATTCAATTTTACCTTTTAAAAAAAAATCTTTGGATTATTTAAACTATTTTTGACAATTCTGTTAAGAAATCATTACATCATATTTTTGACTAGGTGACAAAATCTTATCATCATTCCAAACTTGATGCATGTTAAACATGCATATTACGTCTTCGCTCTGATGTGATTTGAAATACACCATCTCTACCCCAATTAGACAATAGAAACCAATTTCATAAATAACTTAAGAAAATAGGAAAAACATGAGGCACTTTTCAAAACATTTTTCCATAGAATTTTACAAAATTTAAAATCATTTTATTTAAATATATATTTTTTTATCATGACAATCTTACAATATTAATTAGTCTTTATTTACTGACATTTATGATTACTTACCAAAACTTAAATGGGATACCTTTTTTGTAGAAAAAGCACAGCAAAGAAACCCCGCGAATGTGTATATATACAATGTGAGAATAGCCATTTCAATCCAACCCAACCCAACTCAACCTAATGAGGCTGCTAAGATGATGAGTAGTAGCATCAATAGAGGAGAAGATGAAGATGAAGATCCAGTCTCGAAAATTCCATTGATGAAATTAGTGGATAAGCGATTTTACCAGAATTGTGGTATAGATCTCTACATAGCAATCATTTTCTCTCTTTCTGTGTGTGATATGCAATTAATTTGTTTGTTGTTTGCTGAAACCGAACTAGATCTTGGCAAGGGTTGCATTACTCACTTGCATCAAATCAGATTGGGTCCTTGATGATCCTTTTTTTCTTTACTTGCTTTCGGTGTTGATTTAATTTTACATATTTTTTCTAAATATTTTTTTCTGTGATTTAATTTTACAAATCATCTCGATTCAAAGATCTGTCTTTATATAAAGATAAAGAGGTCAGTTTGTCGAGTTTTTAAATTTTAAATCATTTTAATTTTTTTACATCACAACTTTGTGTATATATATATTTTAATCTATCTTTATATATATAATGAGAGATAAGACTTGTCCAGCTAAATTTATACAAGAATTTTTTATTTTTATTTTTTTTTTTTGGGTCGACATATCACGTAAGATGATGTCACAGTGCACTCAATATTTTTTTTTTTTGTTAGATTATTTTCAAAGAGTTTTATATCTCAAAATTTTGGCATAATATAATAATTGTAAATGTTTTATTTATTAAATTTTATTTTAACTAATGTGGTATTTTGTCATGCAACTGAGGAAATACTGGAAACAACATAGGTTATGGTGTTTCAAAGGCACATCAATGCTTTATAAGCCAGTGCCCAATAATGTGAAGTCTTGAAAATATCAGTTAGTCAGTGTCTGGCTTGATCCTAGTTTGTCCGGGAACTTTACGAAATTTTGAAAAATATTTGTTAAAGTGATATATGTATCAATGGTTCGTTATAGAGTTGGATCTTTTATTTTTTTGTACTCAGAGTTGGTATTCTCTTGTATTGAATCAAAGTGTATTTTATATGGTAAAAACTTGATCTAATCACGAATCACTTAGATTTTCATAACTAATGTGGTATTTTGTCATGCAACTGAGGAAATACTGGAAACAACATAGGTTATGGTGTTTCAAAGGCACATCAATGCTTTATAAGCCAGTGCCCAATAATGTGAAGTCTTGAAAATATCAGTTAGTCAGTGTCTGGCTTGATCCTAGTTTGTCCGGGAACTTTACGAAATTTTGAAAAATATTTGTTAAAGTGATATATGTATCAATGGTTCGTTATAGAGTTGGATCTTTTATTTTTTTGTACTCAGAGTTGGTATTCTCTTGTATTGAATCAAAGTGTATTTTATATGATAAAAAGTTAGTGAAGTTTGGGATTTTTTGTATTCAAAATTTGTGGTCTCTTCGAGAATCTAATTGACTCTTTGAATATCATAGTGGATGTGTTAAATGTGTTTGTTAATGTATGTTAAAATATATATATATATATATATAATAAAATTTGGATCCAATTTTTGTCAAAGTGTTTCTTAAATTAGTGGGTGTATGAGTGTTCCAATGTTGATGTTAAAACTATGATTAATTACTAGGTGTATGTAATTGTGTCAATGCTCGACAATTATAATTTGGTTGTTGGCTTCTTTTTTGTTTTTTTGTGTGTGGTTGCTTTCTCACCAAAGGTTGGGTGTTTTCTTAGGTGTTTGCATATGATTTTGCTTCTGGTTTAATGTGTCAATCTAATTAGGATATGTTGCTATTAGCAAAAATTTAGTTTGGGACAAATCAATAGAAAAGATTCGATAGAGAAACCAAGGTAGCGTTTGGTAGAATTTTCTAAATATGATTTAAGAATAGGAATAGAGTTGTATTTTGAGTTTGTGAGTTTTGGAATTATGATCTGAGTATGGAAAATTTGTTTAGTGAATGAGTTTTGAATTGAGTGGGAAATTTTTGATGTGACATATGATATTTGATACAAAAACTTACAACTCATAACCAAACACACATCTCAAAATTCTATTCAAAATTCATAAAAAAAAATTAAAAAATTATGAATTTTTTTAAATTTAAAGTATAAAAAATAACAAGTGCCAATAGTTTAAAAAAAAAAATAACACTTTTCGGTCAACCGGCCGAACGTCTGGGAGGACGACTGGTTAACCCAAATTTTCCCCTCTTGGAAAGAGTTTTCAAAAGTGGGTGTGGAATTAATTTTGAAAACTCTAAACAAACAAGACACTCAAAATAAGGGGTGAAAATGTGTTTGGAGAGCTTCTCCAAACACAGCCAAAATTTTATAATAAAAAAAAAAAACAAACAAACAAACAAATCAAGTAATTGTGGTTGGTATCCTATGCCTTAACAGATTCAGGAACTTCTTTGGAGGTAATCGACAAAGAGAAACAAATTAAAAAGTGATATCGTATTGCTGAAATTGTTACTTGTTACAAAAATTTGAATAAAAACAAAAACAAAAATACAAAAGAAACATAACAAAATATTTGCTGATTACAAGAACTAAAAAATCACAAAATCACTAAATTTAAACTACTCCTACAGAATTATTCTAAACTTAAATAATAATAATAATAATAATAATAATAATAATAATAATAATAACAACAACAACATAAAATATAAATATTTATTGTCTTAATTTTATGTTAAAAATAATTTATGGTCTAAATCGACAAATCAAAATCGACTAGTTACAAAAAATAAAATTAGATTTGGCCATAGTTGATAAGCCACAATCAATTAAACAAGACTTGGCCATAAGCAACAAGCCATAATAGACAGAAAATTATTTTTTTGGTGTCAACAATGCCCCATCATTTAAGGTAAAAATGAATTTTGCCTTAAATGAAATAAAGGATAAAAAATTCGAGCCGACTAAAATGACATTTTTTAACCATTGTTGTTTTTAAAACCATATTACAAAGATTAGCTTTTGATGTAATCCACGCATCCACAGTAGATGTTGGATTCCAAATAACTCAAATAATTGAATGTCATGAAAAATTCATAAATTTTGACACACTTTGAACAATGTCAAAAAATTTACATTCAACAAACGTGGATTGTTCATAATTTTTAGTCACTTTTGGCCTAAAATCGTGATTTTCATCATCTTTTACCAAAAGGGACTGTTTTTTCTTTTTTAGTCATTAATGGCTTGTCACTCTTTGCTATGTTTGGCAAAGAATCATGCCCCAAGTGTATTTTCACAATCATTTTGTAATGAATTTTTAACATCTTTTGAGAGAATAGACTGTTTTTCTATTTTAGCCGCTATTGGCCTATGAAAATTCTCCAAAATCATGTTATCTTCATGACTTGGTGTAATAACCCTTCGAGCCACACACCTTGGCTTTTCATGAATAATTGGCTCTTTAGGAATATTAGCCTCTCAAGTCACATTATTTTCATACCTTAATTTTTCCTTGGCCATTAAGCCTTCTAAATTATGCTCCCAACATTGAATTTCTTCATTAATTAAGTAAATTTGGTCTTCAATTTGATGAATTTTTTTATCAAAATAATTTAAATCTCCTTGCATCAAATAATATGGAGAAGATGAAATTATTTGAAATATTTGCCGATAAAGAGAATTAATTTCTCTTCTTGTGGCCAAATTTTCACTCTCACGCCAATAAATTTTGTCCTTACAATGCCAAATCAAATCATTTATTATGCCATTATGTTGGCAATAGGTGTTAAAATCATTGTCAAAATATTGGCAATCTTTAGACATAAAAAATGAGACATTCCATTGATAATTTATACCCATGGGAATACTGTCACCCCATTGGCGATTTGTATACATGGGTGTATAAGACGTAGACATGTCACTTGAAGGAATGATTCCATAAGCATTAGTTTGCTTCTCATTGCCATAACTCCAAATTAGACAAGTCTCACGGAGCGTGCCAAAATATGTTAGCCAAAAAAACCTAAATTTTACACACAAAAAGAAGAAGAAAAGATCAACCAATTGTGATTGGTGCCTTATACTTTGACAGATTCAAGAACTTTTTGGGAGATTATCGACAGAGAGAAACAAACTAAAAATTAATATTGTATTACTAAAATTGTTGCTTGTTACGAAGACTCGAACAAGAACAAAAACAAAAATACAAAAGAACCAGAACAAAATGTTTATTGATTACAAGAACTAAAAAATCACATAATCACTAAATTTCTGTTCATTTCATTTAGCTTGGTCTTTCAAGGCTTGCATAGAAGCCTCCGTTGAGGTCGAGGGCATAGGAGGAGTCATGTGGTCAAAGTTCAAAGACCTTCGTGCTGGGGCATTCTCTGGGCCAAATATTATTCCAAATGGGGTGTTGTCTCCGTCAGTCAACGAATCTTGAAACTGGTCTGCCATGAATAAATATAAGCATTCCCACAGACAACGCCAATTGTGGTGAAATGAGTTTGAAAATACTTCTTCAATCCAGTCAGACCTTCAAGATCCTAGAGATAACACCTGAAATAGAAAAGAACGCTCCGGTCGGTAGCGCCGGAATTAGCACTCTAACGGTCAAATTAGTATCAGTGTTTGTAGGTCCCTTTTTGCTATATTTTTGTTTTTTGTATTTGATTACACATACCATTTGAACTCTTTTCATCTTTACACAACATAAAACATTTTACAAGATTAAAACCGTAATGACGTGACGATACACAACATGCATACGACCCTCCATAACTTCATATTAATAAAAGGAGAGGTTAGTTTTCATTATAGGTTTAGCAATGGAACTGTACACATAGGCATTTATTTTTGCACAATGTGAATTTTCATATGTATGGATTATTGTATGTGTTGTTGTTCGTATGGTTGTAACATGGCTGTTGACTGTTGTATTGTTGTGTTTTTACAGGAGATAGATACCTTTATGATGTTGGTATGCACATATACAGTCCAACTGTAATAAATATGGTTCATGCATTGTGTTATTTGCATTTGGGGGAGTGTTTGTGTGAAAAATGGGGTGAGTTGTTTGCTTATTCTGTTTATTGTTTTGTCGGCTACCTGGGATTAATAGGTGTGATTTGGACAATGATGAAAACTTTCAAAACATGTTATTACTTTGCAAATCAATGGCGGTACAACATTTAGAGATTGTCGTTGATTTGAAAAGTGATATTAGTCAGTCGATGAGCTCTGGGTCGCTATGTGTGGGGAGTGGGGAAGAAATTGATGCACTCTAGAGATTTTGCCACCATAACGAGAAGATGTTGCTATCAACCCCTTTAAGCAAATGGTATTATGAATGTGGGACAGTGATTTGTAAGAGGTGCACAAGTATTTCGTGATGTTTTATGCAAGTATGCAATCCAATGCGGGTTCCAGTTTTGAGTATGTCAAGAACGAGACAACGAGGGTTACTGTGGTGTGTGCGATGCGCGAGGAAAAAGGTTTCTTGTGGGCTATACATTGTAGAGCACAACAAGCAAATAGATTTTTCTACATCAAGAGTTTCAGTGATGTGCATAGTTGTGGTACGGATGTCCAAATGTCGAAGAATCCAAGAGTTAGTTCTGATTTGGTGTCAAGTAATATATATATATATGAAATTGTGAGGGACAAACCGCTGACTCGCACATGTGAGGTGGTGACTATTTTGAAGCGGGATTATGGGTTGGATGTAAGTTACCACGTGGTATGATTAGGCGTAAAGAAAGCAAATGTTGTCATTCATAGAGATCACTCATTGTCGTTTGACCAACTGCGGTGGTATATTTGGATACTATGATGCGTTACAATCCGGAGAGTTATGACAATATTGACAACGACTCAAGTAGTCAATAGTTTTGTCTTTTTTTGTATCATTCGTTACGTGTATTACTGGATACAATTTTCGTCGGCCTTTGTTATTCCTTGATGGAATGTTCATCAAAAGAAAATACAAAGGTCAGCTACTTGTGGCGATGGCAAAAGATGGAAACAATGGTTAGTATTTTTTTGTATCTATGTGCGTCCATATAAATATTCACATTGAGCGGCGTAGTGTGGATATATGCCATACCATTACATAGTGTGAATATTCACAACCCCTGCTGGCTTTCTAGTGTTTTTGTGAACTACTTGTGTTAATATTCACATTGGAATATTGTGATCAGTTGTTTAATGTTGTTATGTTGTATTTGCGATTGTTGATTTAGAGACCACGGCCAATTGGTTGTGGTTCTTGCACGAACTTGGGAAGGTTGTTGATAGTAAGCGTCAGATTACTTTTATTTCTGACCGTTATCTTGGTCTGTTAGAAGCAATGCCGAAGGAGTTCCCATCAGCTCACCACGGTTATTGCTTACAACACTTGCAGAACAATTTAAGAGACCGGATGAAGGAGATTGATAATGGATTTAGGGACCACCTAGTTAGTAGTTTAGGTGACTGTGCTTACGAGCTAACTGTGGTGATGTTCCATAAAAAGCTTGAGATATTAAAAGAGGATGGTAAGTAACAAGCACATAGTTTTTTCAAGAAGTTGGCACCTGAACACTGGGCAAATTCATGCTTCAGGTAATAGTAATTTCCTAATGTATTCCATTTGTTAAGTTTACAATGGTAGCTTGTAGGAATTTCAGTCATGTTTTGTGGCGATGTGAAATTTCATATTCAGTTTCAAAGAAATTAACTTCGGTGTTGTACAATGTTGTGATATTGTACAGGGGCATGCGTTGCAGGGAGATGACATCCAATGCGGCGGAGTCATTTAAAAATTGGATTAAAGAAGCACATAATCTTCCTAGCACTCAATTGGTGGACACAATTCATACTCAGTTGATGCGACAACTGTCGACGCGACGTGACCAAGCAAACAAGTGGAAGGAAACAATCTGTCCTACATTCGAAACCATGCTTCTTAATTCGTTCAATGACAGTAAGTCTTGGCAAGTTAGCAAAGCCAATGAAGATGTATTTGAGGTTCATTCAATACCATCTGTTACAGTTGATATTGCAAGGCGTACGTGTTCTTGTTTCCAATGGCAGATCAATGGATTCCCATGTGACCATGCTGTTATTGCTATTCAGAAAAGCCGGTATAATCTCATTACTTTCATGTAGAGATGTATCATGCAGCCAATTCGGGTACTTTACACCCCATACCGTCGATGGAAAAGTCGCATTTCGATCCCACGAACTTTGCCATATACCCACCAACTGTGAAAAGTCCACACGGCAGGCCGAAGAAGAATAGAATCCCATCAAGGGGTGAGAAGCTAAAACAAATAACGTGCGGTAGATGTGATAAGTTGGAAAGTCACAATTGAAAATCATGCAAAGAGCCAATATATGGTGTACAATTTTTATTTCAACATAGTGTTTTACGTAGGACTCTTTTATTGATGTTTGAAATAAGATTGCGTTGTGTTGACAAACATTGTGTTAAAATAAGATTATGCTGTGTTGGCAAACATAATAATGCGTTGGCAAACATAGTATTTAATTTGTGTTGATATTTTGTTTTCTTGTATTTTTTGGAATAAGGGTGTAAACAAAGGGGGACATTGTTTTTCTTTTTTTTTTAGTAGCAAGCTAATATTTGTTGGTGTAATGTGAACATTTACACATGTGCAAAAGATTCACATTATGTGAATACTAGCATCTGGGTTAAGCTTTTCACATTATTGCGGTGAATGTTGGCATATGAATATAATCTAGGATGTGAACTTTCACATGCATACAGTTTGACATTATGTGAGCATTCACAACTGTTGAGAATAAGAACGGATGTGAATACTCACATTTGGGTTAAACTTCACATTATTGTTATGAATGTTGACATGAATATAATCTGGGATGTGAACTTTCACATGCATACAGTTTGACATGATGTGAACATTCACAACTGCTGTAAATAATAACAGATGTGAATATTCACACGTCTGTCCTTCGTAATGATGTCATGTTGGCAATGTGAACATTCCTGCACATAATATGTGCATTATAGAACAATGTGATTTAAACAATCGCATAAATTAACAGAACAACACCAAATATAGATCAAAATGCAGAAGTGGCATATCAGAACGTTAATATATGTCATATCACTGATTTACAATCAAATTTTGTTTGTCAAAATGTCAAATCAATTGATATTAACATTTACATCGAGCGTTAGTTTATAGGTAGACACCCCCCACCTATAGATTTTCATGGCACTTTTTTCTGTTATTCAAAAAACTGTGTACTAATAAGTCTTATACGTCACACCATTCGAAACGAGTGAGGCTACCAACAATTTCTTCATGGTATATGTGTGCCCACATGATGTAACATACTATGAGCCCGCAATCCACCTTATAAATGCAAAATGGTTATGATTAGTACTTGACATTTATGTTTTGCATAATGGTTGTGGAGGATTTGTATAAAATGTTGTGCGGCTTACAAGGTGTCAACCTGCTGAGGACAAACATCAACTGGTATGATTGTTGTGACGGATCTTGGCCTGCACACTTAGTCCATAGTGGTGATGCCTCACCAATAACGCACACAACATTCGGGATGTAGTCCTTTTGTGTAAGAAATTTCACGTTAGGCACCAACGAACATATGTGTTCGTACATGCATGTTGGAACTTAACATATCACAACAATTCATATTTGTGTATAGTCACTTACAACTTGGTGTGCTTGGTCGACATGCGGGTCATGTATGTCAGGCCTTGGTCACAATGAGTTATAATGCAACCACAGATTGTCTTTGGCGTCGTACACAACGATCATCCAGTGAAAATCATGGTGTAATGAGAATAGTAGGTATCTCTCCTTGGTAGTCTTTCATACGTGCATCAATATGTTTTCTTCTTTTGCAAAGAGGGTACTCTCGCATCACTTTTTGCACACATTGGACATTCAATCATGTAACGGTCACATTAATGGACTGTGAAAATTCACATTCACATTATAAAACATAAAAATAGAATGTTAGAGTAAACACATACTCGTGAAGATGAATGAGGCTTCCTTTAAAGTTGGGTTGACCACCTCTTGTTGTTCATGTAGTAATTCGGCATATGCATCTATCGCATGCACAAATATAGAGTCGTATTATATTATTTGTGGTGAATGAACAGTGTATGTGTGTGTGTGTGTGTGTGTATGAACAGTGAATAATGTTGGTATTGGCATACGTTATTCCGTATCGATTCCTCCTTGATAAGCAAACTGTGCATTTTTTAGTAAATAAATGTGAATATTAACACTGCACATAAGTAAACTAAACCAAATCAATAAGTACAGTTGTGAATATTCACATTTATGAAAAGTGAATGTTCAAATTAGGTGTTCGTACAGTCACTCATCGCCTCTACTCTTCTGTAAAGTATGGACCTTTTTTTTGTCATGCTTGGACATCATGCTCCAGACCTTGAACTTGTTGATCAATGCCAATAATTTTTTTTGGATGCTTCGCCGGTGGATGTTTATCAACATCTTGAACTATGTGTACTGTATGGAGCAGGTTTGAACCTCGATTATGCTCTTTTTTTTGGCCAGATAGATCTGGGTACTGGAAGTCAAGCAAGCGATATTATTTTCGATATTTCTCCTTGATATGCTTCACCCTAGAAGATGGGCTGAGATTGCGTTGCATTGGGACGGGGGGTTGCTTGCTGAAGCTATCATTATGCTTTTGCGCCTCGGCCTGTGTGACAATGCGAACAGACTGATCATCGAAAAGGTCCTAAAGAACTATTTTCTCGCATTCTAAGTCGACAACCAGCTGCATTAAGCGCACAATTTCTGCATCCTTCTGCTCCATGCACTTTTTTATTTCAGTCTTCATGTTGAGTGGGCTTTGACTGGTTGAACAGTTTATCTTCAAGATCAGCTATCACTCTTGCCCTTAACTCCCATGAGAATTCAACGTATTTGTATTTTGCTTCCCACTGCCTTATGATGCCCCAAGCCTTTCAATTTTCTTTGACAAGCATATCGATGATGTCAGGTTGACAATGACAAGGACATCAACATTCCCTTTAGCATCATCGACATCATCGATATGCTTGTCAAAGAAAATCGAAAGGCTTGGGCATCATAAGGCAATGGGAAGCAAATTACAAGCACCTTGAATTTTCATAGGAGTTAAGGACAAAAGTGATTGTTGATCTTGAAGATAAATTGTTCAATCAATCAAGTCCACCCAACACGAACATTGAAATAAAAGAAGTGCATGGAGCAGAAGGATGCAGAAATTGTGCGCTTAACACAGCTGGTCATCGACTTAGAATGCGAGAAAACAGTTCTTCAAGACCTTTTCGATGATCAATTTATCCACATTGTCACACAGGCCAAGGTGCAGAAGCATCATGACAGCTTTAGCAAGCAACCCCCCGCCCCAATGCAACACAATCTCAGCCCACCTTCTAAAGTGAAGCGTATCAAGGAGAAAGATCAAAATTAGCACCGCTTGCTGGACTTCCAGTACCCAGACCTACCTGGCCAAAAAAAAAAAAAAAAAAGCATAATCGAGATCCAAACCAACCCCATACAGTCCATATAGTTCAAGATATGGATAAACATCCACCGGCAAAGCACCCAAAAAAATTATTGACATTGGCCAACAAGTTCAAGGTCTGGAGCATGATGTCCAAACACAACAAGGAAAAGGTCCAGACTTTACAAAAGAGTGGAGGCGATGAGTAAGTAAATGTACAAACACCTAATGTGAATATTCACCTTTTATAACTGTGAATATTCATAACTGTACTTATTGATTTGGTTTAGTTTACTTATGTCCAATGTTAATATTCACATTGGTTTACTAAAAAATGTGCAGGTTGCTTGTGTAGAAAGGAGACTCGAAGTCTAGATACGTGTATTTTGATGACATCGTGTAACTTATCAAGGAGGAATCGATACACAACAATGTATGCCAGTACCAACATTATTCACTGTTCACACACAGACAACCACACACACACACACACACACACACACACTATTTGCCCACCACAAATAATATAATACGACTTTATGTTTGTGCAGGTGATAGATGCATATGCCGAACTACTACATGAACAACAAGAGGTGGTCAACCCAACTTCCGAGGAAGCCTTCATCTTCACGAGCATGTGTTTGGTAACATCTCTATCATTCTATTTTTTTGTATTTTTTTTTAAATGTGAATGTGAATCTTCACAGTCCATTAATGTGATCGTTACATGATTCAATGTCCAATGTGTGTAAAAAGTGATATGAGAGTACCCTCTTCGCAAAACAAGTACACATATTAATGCACATATGAAAGACTACCAAGGAGAGAGATACCTATTATTCCATTGCACCATGACTTCCACTAGACGATCGTTGTGTACAACGTTAAAGACAATCTGTGCATGCATTATAACTCATTACGACCAAGGCCCAGCATACACGACCTGCATGTTGACCAAGCACACCAAGTTGTAAGTGACTCTTACTGTACACAAATATGAATTGTTGTGATGTGTTAAATTTCAACATGAATGTATGCACACATATGTTTGTTGGTGCCTAACGTGAAATTCCTTACACAGAGGGACTACATCGAGAACGTTGTGTACGTTATTGGCAAGGCATCACCACTATGGACTAAGTTCGCAGGCCAAGATTCGTCATAACAAATCATACCAGTTGATGTATGTTCTCAATAGGCCGACACCTCATAAGCCTCACTTCATTTTGTACAAATCCTCCACAACCGTTATGCAAACATAAATGTCATGTGCTAATCATAACCATTTTACATTTATAGGATGGATTGCGGGCCCGCAGTCTGTTACTTCATGCGGACACACAAATACCATGAAGAAATTGTTGGTAGCCTCACTCGTTCTGAATGGTGTGGCGTACAACACTTATTAGTACATAGTTTTTTGAATCACAGAAAAACAGAGCGCCATGAAAACTTATAAGTGGAGGGTGTCCACCTACAAACTAACCAACGCTCGATGTGAATGTTAATATCAATTGATTTAACATTTTAACAAACAAAATTTGATTGTAAATCAACGATATGACATCTATTAACATTCCAATATGCCACTTGTGCATTTTGATCTACATTTGGTGTTGTTCTGTTAATTTATGCAATTGTTTGAACCAAATTGTTCTGTAATACACATATTATGTGCAGGAATGTTCACATTGTCTACACGACATCATTACGGATGACAGACACAAGTGTGAATATTCACATATGTTTTTATTCACAACAGTTGTGAATGTTCACATCATGTCAAACTGTATGCATGTGAAAGTTCACATTCCAGATTATATTCATGTCAACATTCACAGCAATAATGTAAAAAGTTCAACCCAAATGCGAGTATTCACATCTGTTCTTATTCACAACAGTTGTAAATGTTCACATCATGTCAAACTATATGCATGTGAAAGTTCACATCCCAAATTATATTCATGTCAATATTCACAGCAATAATGTGAAAAGTTCTACCTAAATGCAAGTATTCACATAATGTGAATCTTCTGCACAAGTGCGAATGTTCACATTATGTAGTAATCATTAAAACACCAGCAAATGTCAATTTGCCACCCAAAAAAAAAAAAATTAATGTCTCCTTTTGTTTACACCCTCATTCCGAAAACATACAAGAAAACAAAATATAGACAACACAAATCAAATACTATGTTTGCCAATGCATTATTAGGTTTGCCAACACAACGTAATCTTATTTTAACACAATGTTTGCCAACACAACGCAATCTTATTTCAAACGTCAATAAAAGAATCTCACGTAAAACGCAACATTAAAATGAAAATTATACACCCTATATCGGCTCTTTGCATGATTTTCGATTGTGACTTCCCAACTTATCACATCTCCCTCACCTTATTTGTTTCAGCTTCTCACCCCTTGATAGGATTCTATTCTTCTTCAACCTGCCGAGTGGTCTTTTCATAGTTAGTGGATATATGGTAAAGTCTGTGGGATCGAAAAGGCGGCTTTTCCATTGACGATATGGAAAATATGGTAACCGAATATGCTACACGATACGTCTCTACATGAAAGTAATGTTCCATACAATCATTGAGATTGTATCGGCTCTTCTGAATAGCAATAATAGCATGGTCACATGAGAATCCGTTGATCTGCCATTGGAAACAAGAACACGTACGCCTTCCAATTCCAACTATAACAGATGGTATTGAATGAACCTCAAATACATCTTCACTGGCTTTGCTAACTTGCCAAGAACTGTTGTCGTTGAATGTATCAAGAAGCAAGGTTTCAAATGTAGGACAAATTGTTTCCTTCCACTTGTTTGCTTGGTCATGCCACGCCAACAGTTGTCGCATCAATTGAGTACGAATTGTGTCCACCAATCGAGTAATAGGAAGATTACGTGCTTTTTTAATCCAATTATTAAATGACTCCACCACATTAGATGTCATCTCCCCATAACGCATGCCCCTGTACAATATCACAACGTTGTACAACACTGAAGTTAATTTCTTCGAAACTGAATATGAAATTTCACATCGTAACAAAACATGACTGAAATTCCTACAGGTCACCATTCTAAACTTGACAAATGGAATACATCAAGAAACTACTATTACCTGAAGTATGAATTTACCCAATGCTCAGGTGCCAACTCTTTGAAAAAACTATGTGCTCGTTGTTTATCCTCCTCTTTTAATTTCTTAAGCTTTTCATGGAACCCCACCATAGTTAGCTCGTAAGCACAGTCACCCAAACTACTAACCAGGTAGTCCCTAAATCCATTATCAATTCCCTTCATCCGGTCTCTTAAATTGTTCTTCAAGTGTTGTAAGTAATAACCGTGGTGAACTGATGGGAACACCTTCGGCATCGCTTCTAATAGACTAAGATTACGATCAGAAATAAAAGTAATCTGACGCTTACCATCAATAACCTTCCCAAGTTCGTGTAAGAACCACTTAATCAACAATCGCAAATGCAACAGGGAATAGACCTACGACATAACAACATTAAATAACTGATCACAATACTCCAATGTGAATATTAACACAAGTAGTTTACAAAAACACTAGAAAGCCAACAAGGGTCGTGAATATTCACACTGTGTATGGTAAGGAAGATATCCACACTACACCGCTCAATGTGAATATTTACATAGACACAGTTACAAAAAAAAATACTAATCATTGTTCCTATCTTTTGGCGTTGTCGCAAGTAACTGACCTTTGTACTTTCTTTTGAGAAATGTTCCATCAAGGAATAACAAAGGCCGACAAAAATTGTACCCAGAAATACACGCAACGAATGATACAAAAAACGACAAAACTGTTGACTACTTGCGTCGTAGACAATATTGACATAACTCCCCGAATTATAAAGCATCACAATATCGAAATACCACCGTAGCTAGTCAAACGACAATGAGTGATCTCCATGAATGACAGCCTTTACTTTCTCCACGCCCAACCATACCACATGGTAACTTACATCCAGCCCATAATCCCGCTTCAAAATAGTCACCACCACCTCACACGGGCGAGTCAACGGATTGTCCTTCACAATTTTAGATATAGTACTCGACACCAAATCGAACTAACTCTCAAATTCTTCGACGTCCGGACATCCATACCATAACTATGCACATCACTAAATCTCTTGACGTAGAAAAATCCATTTGCTCGTTGTGCTCTACAATGTATAACCCACAAGCAACCTCTTTCCTCCCGCATTACACACACCGCAGTAACCCACGTTGCCTCGGTCTTGACATACTCAAACTGGAACCGGCATTGGATTGCATACTTATATAAAATATCACGAAATTCTTGTGCACCTCCTACAAACATCTGTCCCACATTCGTAATATCATTTGCTCGAGGGGCTGACAACAACAGCTTCTCCTTATGGTGGCAAAATCTCTAGAGTGCATCAATTTTTTCCCCACTCCACACACACAGCAACTTAAAGCTACACGACTGACCAATATCACTTTTCAAATCAACGACAACCTCTATAAGTTGTAACCTCATTGATTTGGCAAGCAATAACATGTTCTGAAATTCTTCGTCATTGTCCAAATCACACATATTAATCCTAGGTAGCCGACAGAACAATGAAACAGAACAAGCAGACAACTCACCTCATTTTTCACACAAGCACTCCAACAAGCTTGCAACCATATGTGCACACCAACATCATAAAGGTATCTATCTCTTGTAAAAACACAATAATATAATAGTCAACAACTATGTTACAACCATACAAACAACAACACATACAATAATTCATACTATATGAAAATTCATATTGTGCAAAAGTAAATACCTATGTGTACGTGTACAGTTCCACTGCTAAACCCATAATGAAAACTATCACCACCATCCTTACACAACATAAAACATTTTACAAAATCAAAATCACACCGCCAGAATGAGGTAACAGTACACAACATGCAAACAACTCTCCATAACTTCATATTAATAAGATGTGAACATTCACATTGTTTTAGATACTCTGAATTACCTCACCCACACAGATCCTCATTATGCAAACATCAAAAACTCATCAAACAAACACTTGCATTACCACATAACATAAAACAAACATACAAAATATATGCGTATATGTATATTTTACACTGCTAAAACCAAACTCAAAATATCACAACAATCATTACAACCAAGATGTGAACATTTACATTGTTCACATAATTTGAGTAAACCACCCCCCCTCCCCCCACCACAAAGCCACGTAAAATGCATATAATTCAACAAATAGAGTATTTGATCCATATAAATAAAAAAGCAAGGCATAAAATCTATCACATAAATCAAAACATAAACTGAACATGCATTCATAATCAAAATGATACTAACCTTAATTATGCAATCCTATACCTCGAAAACGACTGATTTCACCTAGTTATACTCCAAACAATGTCACAATCGAACACCATTCGAGTCGTCATCTTCACTCCCAAATTACTGAACCCTACCATAACAGTAACAATGAAACCCTAGCACATCAAAGCCTTCAAACGGGCAAGCAAAATTGAAACGTATCCAATTGAATTAGAATCATGATCAAAATCGTGAATACAGCAAACTACCAAAACAGAATGAACAAAAAATAAATAAAATTAAACGTCTATATCTGTATCAACACTATATATAAGGGCATAATAGTCCATTGAAAAATATAAAATTAGGAAAAAGGACCTCATGGAATAAAATAAATACATACATGAAACTAATCAGGCTATAATAATTCTTTGTAGACCTAATGGATTACAACTCCTCTAAAATGAATTTATCAATAAAAATCCCTTCAAAAATAATTACACATTTATAAAGATGCAAGTAAAAGAGCAATGATACATAGCTCTAATTTTGAAACTCTAATTGAGCTCTAATGATGTGGCAAGAAATTAAAAAAAAAAGGTCAAAACACCACATCAATGGGTGGATTTCACCCCCTAGAGCTCTTTTAGAGCTCTCAAACATTTTTACCAGTAAAAACTGTAAGATAAAACATAAATCTTGAAGATAAAACACAAATCTTCCTTCATAAAAATATAATTATTGTCCCTTAAACACAATTTTTTTTTTTCTTCAATTCTTTATGAAGACCACTATTTGTTTCACACCAAATCTCTTACAGAAAGACCAATAAGCAAGCAGGCCCTTTGGTAAAAAAAGAAAAAACACTCTTTAATGTTATTAACTAGTGTAATAAATTTAAGTACATAGAAGTCAAACAAGAACAAAATATAAAAACACTCTTTAATGTTATTAACTAGTGTAATAAATTTAAGTACATAGAAGTCAAACAAGAACAAAATATAAATATTTCATAAGAAGTAAGACCCACATGAAATGAGACTGACATGTAAGACTTATCCCTTATGAAACATTTGTAGTCGCATTCTATGTTTAATTTTTGAGCAATGCTACGTACCTCGAATTTGATCTTGCCTCAAATGGCTCGAATTTTGTTGTGTCGATCGTCCAGCCGGTTGTCTGGTAAAAAGGCTAACAGCCGCAGTCGATAAGATGACCACCACGGTAGACAAGTGCATCACCCGGTCGTCCAACCGGTTGACCGGTGAACACAAATTCAAGCCATTCGAGGCACTAAAGATTTCCCTTAATTTTTTGTGTTCCTAATATTATTGTAACCAATGTCAAGCTAATGGTAAAGTCTTGGGAAAAAGAAAGGCTTTGTGGGGAGGTGGGACCATGAATTTTGTGTTGGATTGAACTCTTAAGAAGTTCAAGGTTTGGGGAGGCTCTAAGTGCATCCTAACACACAGACACTATCCTAAGGGCTCTCAAAGTAAGATTGGCGTTGAATTCTTTCATGCCCATGTCCACAACCATGAAGAGCGAAAGAGGGAACCATGTATCAAAGACACCTTGAGTGATTCCAGCCTTTTTCGAACTCCTCAGTGACGGGCTCTTCTACTCCACTAATTAATTGTTTGTGTTGTTGCTTTTTTTATTTTGGTTTCTATACAGGAGTTTGATGTTTTTCAGGTGGCAGTTCTGGAGGTCCTTCATTTATGGTTTGCTTAGGACTTGGTTCCTTGTCTTTTTGTTTGGTTGTCTTAACCCTCTGTTTCTTTTTAGAGTTTGCTAACTGTTTGTATGTTGGAACCTTTGTTTCTTATTGCCTTATCAATGCAGTTTATCATTCCTCAAAAAGGTTGAGTCTTTGGCTAGCTAAATAAACATTTGATAAATAGGATTAGAAATGAGTCGAGTCGAGTTTTAATATATTTGAACTTATTTATTATTAAAATTTAATTAGTTCGAACTCGAATTTAATAAAAATTTTAATAAAACAAGCTCGAGTCGAGTTGGCTTAGTCTTGACTCAAGCTCAAGCCTGTTTATACTTGTGCATACGACTAAAGTAATTATATATACAATATATATAAATATACTACAAAAAATCAATATCTTGTCAAAATAATAATATCTACCACAACTATTATATAAATGTATTATCTATAGTTAGCTATCATTTACATTTACACACAAATAAATTTAGTTACTATTTACATTATTTAAATATTTAAATAACATATTTATCCTAGTTTTTTTTACATATTTTTATATTATTCAATACATAAATAATATATTTATTATATTATTTAAATAAATATTAAATAAATCGAGTTAGCGAGCCGAATTTTAGTATTTTTAGACTTATTAAAATTTTAACGAGTTTAAATTTGAATTTATTAAAAATTTAACGACCCAAGTTAAAGTAAATTTTTACAAATCAAAATTCAAACTTATTCACGAACAACTCTGCCCGTTTCCAGCTCTAATTTAAGCAATACAAATACCCCTACCAACCACTAGCAAGAAATAATATTTAACTTTTCAGTTTCAAATTTATCCTCCAAGTCCCTCTGCTAATTAAAACTGCCTAGTTTGAACAATATGATTTTTTTTAATAACAAATATATATATATATATATATATTTGGATAAATTACACTTTGCCCCCTTTATGGTTGGCCACTTTCCCACTTTGACCCTTTATCCACTTTGACCCTTTATATTTCAAATTTTTCCCACTTTACTCCTAAAATTAATTTATGTTCAAAATTAGAAAAGAAAAAAAAATTTATATTAATTGTCACATAATGTAAGAAATATATTATTATATTGAAGTTTAAGCTCATATCAAAAGTATGAATCATATATAATAAAATATTTTTATACCATGTAACTATCAATGTGTTATTTTCTGTCTATTTTTTAACAAAAATTAACTTTAGGATTAAAATGAGAAACTGAAAACATGAAAGACTAAAGTGGAAAAGAGCAAACTTTAAGAGCCAAAGTAAAAAAGTGAAGTATAAAGGGAGCAAGGTTTAATTTAGGGGATTTTTTTTATTTGGGTCCCTGATATTAAGATTTTATAGCATAAAAGACATCTAATATTTTCATAATGTCTAAGGTCCCTCAACATCGATCCAAAAAAAATTCAATCTAGAGAAATTCTCAATTTCTCTAAACTTCCCAAAGAATCTCTCCAAAGAAATTTTGAGAATTTTCTCTGAATACATGCATATACATAAATGTGTGTGGTTTGTTGTGGGTGATACTCACAGATACAAGGAGGGCACGGAGAGGAGTTCCACAACGAGTCCAGAGAAGGACATCGCAGCCGGTGTTCCAGGAAGCTTGGTGGAGGAGAGGAACATTCTTGGAGAGAGAGGCTTTGATCCGATGGATGACAAGACTCGATTGTACGCAAAATCTGAATCCAGAAAGAAAATCTCAACCCTCACACGCCAGCGTACGCCGTCGAGACTAACTTCTTCGTCATGGCTTCACTTCCCACTAACCTCCACAAACACACCGTTGGACTTCTCTCTCTCTCTCTCTCTCTCTCTCTCTCTCTCTCTGTGTGTGTATGGTTTGTGTGTGTGTGTGAAAGTGAGTGAATGGTTTTGAGCTGAAGTGTGTGTGTGTGTGTGGTTTTGAGCTGAAGTGTGTGTATGTGTGGATTAGATGAGGGGGAAGTGAGAGAGAAACAAAGTTTGATTTGAGAGAGTCAAATCACTCTGTAATATATGAATGTAGGGTTGAGAAACCTTAGACATTATAAAATAATATTGTGAATCTCTTCCATTACTAAAAATGGAAGAAGGACATTAGACTAATTTACCCTGCATTTTATTTTCTATTTTTTTAATTTTTTTTCCCCCTCAACAAATCCATTCACATATCGAAGATCCATAGACATGGTATTATAATTGATAGAGGTGATGTATTATGATTTTGTATTGGATGATTGAGGAATATAAAAAAGACATAATGAACGATAATTTGTAAAATATCTAATAATTTTCCTTATAACTCTCATGCAAATTGACATAAAATAATTTTTTTAAAAAAAATAAGTAAAAAGCAATGGTATATGTTCACTCGCACATTGGTTAGTAAGAGCTGTTTCAAAAAAAAACATTGGTTAGTAAGAGCATATGTAACGGTAAAATCAAAATAACTTTGCCGAAAGCAATTTTTTGGTTTCCATAGTACAAAATACAAAAAATAAATAAATAAATAAATAAAGGTCGTTTTTTTTTATTGTATCACTCCAACGGTGGCTTGTTATTTTGACACAACCAAATGCCAAATTTAACCGACTTTTAAATTGTCCAACTTGTTTTCTCCCACATTTTCAAACTCTTCAACTACCATTCCCCAACCAACTTTTGTCAACAATCTTGGGCCATGTTTGGTTTATTTTTCTGAAACTACTTTCAGAATTTTTTTTTTTTTTTAAAAAAATCAAAACTAGTTTGACAAAAATAAAAATTAATTGAGATAGTGTCAATACTCATAAGAGACAATGCCGACACTATGTAATGAAAAGAGTGATTCTAACTGAAACATTGTCAACACTAGTGACGACACTAGAGAGTAATTCTAATTGAGACCGTTAATACTAGCAGTGCCATAGGATTATTTCGGTAAAATTTTTGTGGTACTTTGTTTGATTTATACGTTTGTTGGATTCTTTATCGTTCATTGTTTATTGTTTGATTGTTTGATAATTTGATTGATTCCACCAATGGTTTATTACTTATTTGATTTGATTCTTTTAAGTTCCATTCAATAAAACTGTTTATTTATTTATTTGATAAATATTTATTGTTCATTGCTAATAAGGAGAAATTTTTATTATTGTTGAGGTTTTGGGATTTCAAAAATTTTAGAAAGTTTAGGAATATGGTACAACAGATAGCTTTGCCAAACTTTAAGCCAAATTTGGCTCTTGGTTTGGCTTTGTCATTTTTTGGCATGGCATTTGTCCCACCATTGGAGGCATAATTTTGTGAACTCAAGATATTTTTTGGCTTTGGCTTTGGCAAGGCACTTGGCATAACCATTGGAATCGCTCTAAGCACATTGTGACTGCCAAAAAGAAGACAACATGAAATTTAAGCACAAAAAAAAAAAAAGTAATTTAGATATTATTATGTAAAGAATATTATCCTGTTAATTTTTACTTCAGTCCAAACTATAGAGACGTGATTATATATAAATACTCCTAAAGTAACCACTATAATATAAAGTTAAAAATAAAGTGCATAATTCACACCCTAAAAAGAATTTATTCAAATGGATCTGTGACCATTCCAAAAATTTCCTGTTGGCCACCCTTTTTGCACATTTTATATGGGCTGCTGGCTTTCTCCCCTGTTGGCATGGCACTTCATAGATTTGTTCATTCCATGAGTCGTAAAACAAGCTTCCAATATTATCCTAACTTTCATATCTTTTTTATTTTTATCAATAGCATGTAAATTTTTGTTCTACACGTAGCCCACTCCCAATAACCTAATCAAACAAATATCATTGAAAATTCTCAATGGAGAGAGAGGCCATTAGCAACTATCCTATCTTGAACACCATATGATTGTGTTACCAATGTTAATGGTTTTAATAAGCCCCTTCTTTCATGTTTTATACCCCCAATGTATTGATGAAACACATTAGACTAGACGGTATCTAAAATTTAAAACCTAAATTTGAACACAGTAGAGCATTATTGATGCACAAATATATATATATATATATATATCATCTGGAGATAGTGTTCTATTACTAGGCAGGGACAACTCAATCCATCTGGGAAGTTTCACATATGAATGCACTAAATATAAACCTTCCTAATCAACCACATAATAACTTACATTACCCTCACAAGCAAATTGAATTTAATATACAAAAAATAACAAAACAAAACTTACTAGTATGTGTCAACCAAAGTTGTAGGCACGCTTGGCGGAGTCTAGAGTGTTGGAGAGGAGCATAGCAATTGTCATAGGTCCCACTCCTCCAGGCACAGGGGTGATTGCCGATGCTACCATTACTGCTTCTTCATAACAAACATCTCCCAAAAGACGATAACCTTGCTCGAAACTGGGATCCTGCCCATCAATAGTTTAAGCAAAGAAAAAATAAATAAAGGCCTTACAAATGCTTTTTTAACACATTGATGAATGCATATTCTGCCGAGTGGTTCTTACTGGTACAATAGAATGCCTTTTGACATTTAATTCTAGTTGTCTGAGCAGTATTATCTATTTTTACAAAACCTGCGGCTAACCTAATGCACACAAGAATGAACCTACTAGTACCTCGATAGGATAGGTTCCGACGTCAATAACAACTGCACCAGGCTTAAGCCAATTGCCACGGACTAGATTGGGTACTCCTGCTGCTGTGACCACGATGTCAGCTTCGGAGGTGATGTGTTCTGGGTTCTTTGTGAATGCATGCACAGTGCTCACCGTCGCATGGTGCCTCTGCCCAACATTTCAACAATGCTACTTAATCTAATAACAAAAAAATGAGCTACCGCTGAACATTTCCAAAGAAAGAAGAAGAGGAAACATGGTGTCACCTGCAAGAGCAAAGATGCAGGCAATCCTACAATGTTACTCCTCCCAATCACCACAGCATTCTTACCCATGATTTCCACATCAGACCTTACCAATAACTCAATGCAACCTTTTGGAGTGCAGGGAATAAACAATGGCTCCCTTCCGCTCATGGCTAGATTCCCCATGTGTACTGGATGAAAGCCATCCACATCCTTTTCCAGGTTCAACACATTGAGAATCTTCTCCTCGTCCAAATGCTGTTCCAAACATTTAGTTACTCATCCACACAATGCCAACAACTTTCTTACATCAATCAAAACGTCAACAAAAACATTATTACACAAGAGATATATCCATTATAACTTGGGAGTCCTGGATTCCATCTAAATTTGTGAATCAACCTTGTTGCACACTTGATTCAACCCTTGAGTAAGGGTATGATATATGTGGTCAACATGTTTAGTTGGACACAAACCAGCAAGTATGTAAAAATAGTCAAGTTTATTATATAACTATGCATAAAACTTGAATTTCCATGTTTTGTACTAGTTTGTAAACACCATTTAGTCCTAAAATTTAGAAATATGAAATCTACCCATGTCTTTGTGTCTTTGGAAATATGAAATCTACCCATGTCTTTCTATGGCACACTAAATGAATATGTTGATTAGATACATACCTACAATCTACCCCGCACCCAAACCCATGTAACATAGTGCCATATATCACAATATACCACAAAAGATGCCTTAAGTGTCCTTGAACAAAAGAAATAGATCATTCTGACATTTAGACACATACCCACATCCAACACCTGTACCCAAGTCCATGAAATATAGTGTGATATATCACAATAGACCACAAAATGGCTGTTTTCGAGTGAATCTTCCATAACATATTAAGTCAGGCCATTATACTGGTCCTATAAATTTGCTTTCATCCCCTCATATGATTATAAAATTCTACTAAATAGTCCAGCAAAATTGGGTTTCAGACCATATAACACATCTAGATGGTGCAAGAAGTCCATGCAAATAACAACTGGCAGCTATTCATAGGGCAGAATTTCCACTCAATGGGATCTAGTTGAGGGTAGATCCCAACATTCTAGTATACAGAAAAATTAGGAAGAGGAAGCAGAAATTTAGCTAGAGCCACCAAGACCGCTATGCAATTTGATGACAATTGATACGAACAAAAGAAAAACCCCAGGCCATAATATGCCCACATTGCAAAATGTCTAGGCTACAATTTGAGAGAGAGAGAGAGAGAGAGAGAGAGAACTTTGACTATAAGTTTAGGGTAACCACATAGAATGTACAAACTTTAACTAGAAAGACAATAGAATGAGTAGATGTCATGATTATGAGGAGAGTTAGTATAGCTTGCGTACAAGAAACTATAGTAGACGGGTGAGAAAATTAGGGAAATAGAGGATACCGGTTTTAAACTATATTATAGTGGCAAGAATAGACACAAGATTGGGGTAAGAATAATAGTTGCCAAGAGTCTTATAGAAAAAGTAGTTGCGGTAAGTAGGAAAGGTAATAGAATTATGTTAGTTAAACTAATTATTAGAGGGAATATAGTGAAAGTTAGGCCTAGTTTGGGAAGACTAAATAAGTGCACTTTTTAACTTTTTATGAAATATGGGTTGGGATTGGGTTGGGTTTGAAGTGATGTGTTAGAGAGGTGATGTGACTTAAATAAGATGATTTGACTTAAATAGGATAGTGACTTTTTGACTTTTTTCAATCATGCCAAACTTGGCCTTATTAGTGCATACGCCCCCCAAGTAGGATTAGATGATCAGACTAAGAGAGATTTTTTGGAACAAATGGATGAGGTATTACAGGAGATACCCATAGCAGAAAACCTAGTTATAGGTAGAGACTTCAACGGCCATGTAGGAATAGATAAACTAGGTCATGAGAGGGTGCATGGTGGGTATGATTTTGGTGATAGAAATGAGGCTACAGAGAGTATTTTAGATTTTGCGTTGGCTTCTAACCTGGTGGTGGCCAATACTATTTATAAGAAGAGAAGAGCATTTGATAACCTTTAAGAGTGGATCAAATAGGAGTCAAATAGATTACTTTCTAGTAAGAAAATTGAACCATTTAAAATGCAGAGGCAGTAAGGTGATTCCTGAAGAGAGCCTGACGTCTCAACATAGGATTTTAGTACTAGTTTATGTTTTAAAGGGCAACACCAAGCTAGAAAGGATAGTTGGCGTCATAGGACGAGGTATTGGGACGTAAAAGGAAATAAATTAGAAATATTTAATAATAGAATGGATAAAGAAGGTACTTTGGACTTGGAAGATGATGCTAACACTATGTGGAACTCGATGGCCAATTGTATGAGAAGAATCTCAAGGGAAGTTCTTGGAGAATCGAAACGAAAGAGACCCAACTCTAAGGAAACTTAGTGGTGGAGGGAGGTGGTGTAGTAAAGACGAAAAGAGAGTGCTTTGAAAAGTGACAGATACAGATTGGCTAATAAAGAGGTCAAAAAAGTAGTGAGAGAGGCTCAGTTGAAAGCCTATGATGACGTATACACTAGACTAGATAGTAACTAGAGAGATAAGAGAATATACGAACTTTCTAAGATAAGAGAGAAAAATAAGAGATTTTAATCAAGTTAAGTGCATCAATAATGAGGATTCTAAGGTACCGGTGAAGGATGAAGAGATTAAGAAAAGGTAAAAGAACAATTTTGAGAAATAGTTAAGTGAGGAACATGGAGGGAGGTCAAAAGAGGAGGAAGTAGCTAATAATAAGGAAAACTAAGGCCACAAGTTCTATCGCAGGATTAGGAACTTTGAAGTAGAGATTGCACTTAAGAAAATGAATCGAATAAGGCTTTAGGACCCGATTGAAGCTTGAAAATGTTTGGGTAAGAAGAGGTTTGCTTGGTTGAATAGGTTATTTAGTAAGATTTTGTAGACTAGGAAAATGCCAGAAGAGTAGAAGAAGAGTATTTTAGTGCCAATCTATAAGAATAAAGGAGATGTACAGAATTGCCATATCTATAGAGGAATCAAGCTAATGTGTCATATAATGAAAGTGTGAGAGAAAGTGATGGAACGTCGATTACGAGATATAACAGAGGTGTCGGAAAATCAATTTGGATTTATGCCTGATAAGTCAACAATGAAAGCAACCTATCTGTTGAGGAGAATAATAGAAAAGTATAGAGAAAAAAAAAGGAGACATTTATATGATTTTTATAGATCTTGAGAAAGCATACGACAGAGTGCCTCAAGATATAATTTGGTGGGTGTTAGAAAAGAAATGGGTGACAAAAGATTACATTGTTTTGATTAGGGATATGTATGAAGGTGTGGTGACTACTATCAGATCGTTTGCTGGAGAGACAAGTAAATTTCCAATTACTATAGGGTTACACGAAGGATCAACATTAAGTACTTATCTTTTTACTTTAGTTATGGATGAGTTGATGAGAAATATTTAGGATGATGTGCCATGGTTTATGTGTTTTGCAGATGATATAGTGTTAAAGAATGAGACTAGATAAGGAGTGAACACTAAATTGGAGACTTAGAGAGAAGTAATTGAATCTAAGGATTCAGGTAAACAGAACTAACACAGAGTACATGGAGTGTAATTTTAGTAACAATAACAATGGAAGTAGAGGAGAAGTAAAGATTGAGAACCAAGAATTACTTGAGAGTGAACATTTTCGTTATTTAAGATCGATTATCACAACGGCTAGGGAGATTGGAGCGAATGTAGTCTGTAGAATTAAGACGAGGTGGCTTAAGTGAAGAAGTTTATCTGGGATACTATGCGATAAACGAGTACCCACTAGACTGAAAGGAAATTTCTATAAAATAGCTATTAGATCAGCGACGTTATATAGGACAAAATGTTGGGCAATTAAGAAACAACATATAGACAACATAAGTGTTGTTAAGATAAGGATGCTAAGGTAAATGTGTGGCAAGACTAAAATAAACAGAGTTAGGAAGGAGTATCTTCAAGAATGGGTAGTAGTGCCGATAGAAAATAAGTTGAGAAAGAATAAATTGAGATGATTTGGTCATATACAACGGAGACCAACAGAGGCAGTAGTGAAGAGATGCAATGCAGTGACGGTAGATGGAAGTGTTAGAGGAAGAGACAGACCTAAATTGAAGTGGACTAGTGTAATAAATAGAGATATGAATCTCCTTAATTTGACTAACACAATGGCCTTTGATAGAGTTGAGTGGAGAAGAAGGATTCATGTAACCGATCCCATTTGATAGGACTTAAGGATTTGTTCGGTTTGGTTTGGTTTGTAAAGTAGAATTCTACTTTTTGTAGATTTTATCAAATTAACGCATCCACTGAAAAAGTAAATGGACTATTGGCTCTTAAACTAATATCCATATTTCCCAAAGAATGATTTATCACTATTAGTGAACTTCTGTGTAATATAAGGGTCGTGGTAATGATAGCCCTAAGGGATGTTAAAAGGATTTTTTATTGATAAACCCCATTTAAAGATGTTCTAACCCAATAAGTCCATCAAGGAAAATTATAACCTAGTTAATTCTTGTAGGTTTAAAGAAAAGAAAAAGTTAGGGAATGAGGTAGACTTCATTCTCTTTTATATTGATAATACTGAGTAATTACAGGAGTGCCATAGGCATACTATAAGGAAACACAATCACACAATCACGTTTTTCCTATTTAAACTTAATTCCTATTCTAACACTCCCCCTCAAGCTGGCGCGAAAATATCTCATTCCCAGCTTGTTAAAAATGCTATGAAATGGTTTGCTCCCTAGCCTCTTGGTGAGAATATCGGTCAGTTGGTCTCCAGTCTTCACAAATGGAATATATATGATACAACTAGTGAGTTTTTCCTTGATGAAGTGCCTAGCAATTTCCACATGCTTAGTTCTATCATGTTGAACTGGATTATGAGCTATGTTAATTGTGGCCTTGTTGTCACAGTATAGTCGCATGGAGTCATTCTGATGGATTCCTAAGTCTTCCAACAATAGTTTAATCCATAGTAACTCACATACACCCTGAGCCATAGCTCTGAATTCTGCCTCAACACTAGATCTAGCAACCACATTTTGTTTCTTACTTCGCCATGTGACTAAATTGCCACCAACAAATGTGCAATATCTGGAAGTTGATCGTCTGTCGGTGACGGATCCAGCCCAATCTGCATCAGTAAACGTCTCCACACTGAGATGGCCATATTTTGAAAAATAGAGACCCTTTTCAGGAGAAGC